CAGTAAATACCAGTACTCTCAGAAATGAACAATCTAACTAAAACATACACCCAAAATAAAGTGTGGGGTGTCTTTGTACAGTCAAATACACAAAAACAGTAACACAACTAATAATCTCATTTGAACAATGTCTGTATTTCTCACACGTGTCACAAAACAATTTGGCTCAAGGGGCTTGAAAGATCCAGGTGCTCATTTTAATAACATCTAGGTAAAAATGACATCTCAATCTAATGCTGAGAACAAATGGAACTGGTGGAGTTCACTGGAATGAACAGGATATATTCAAATTTGATCATTTGGCCATTTCTGACAGCATTACAATGCTGCTGTATGAAGAAAATGCTGTGTGTCACATCTATAGTAAAGCTGTAATGTGTGACTCCACTGTGCTTCAGCACTGCATCATCAAATACTATTTCATCAAACTTTTAAAGCCAAAGTCTGCCAGGTGGGCACAGATAGCGTGGATATTGACCTCAAATGACCGTGCTTACATCTGTGTTACAGTTTTGGCTCTTAGTGGCCAGTTCTACACGAAACAGCTGTGACTACAGCTAAGATGGGGGCATTTAGGTCCAACACAGAGAGGTTAGCATGCAATTATGTTCAGCACATCCGGTTCGGGAAATTTAGATTTTGGCCCCCTGCTGCACATCTCTTGAGCTTTTGACACTTTTCGGTAACAGCTATACAAGTCGTCCATACATTAAGCTAATGGAGGATGCAGGGACAGTGAATCTATAGCACTTAAAAAAGAAAAAAATAAAGAAAAAAACCTTAACCTACAAAGTCGTGGCTTCATAGCAGTTAGCTTACATTAAAAAAATGCTAAAAACAGAGAAAATAGGGCAAACAATGGCTAAGAGCTACCTGTAAAATACAGCTGAGTGTTATCGTGGGTGAGGGCTGGCTTTACTTGCTGCTAATCTTTAGCCATCTCTACCTCACCCCCCTCACACACTAAACAACTCCAGTCTACAAATAAATTAAAACTTTACTGTCAATAAAGCTTACCTCGTCTTCTGAAAGTCCATAAATAGGCTCGTAATTTGCAGCCATATAGCCTGCGGTCCACAATATGTATACACAAACACGAGCCGCTGTGCAGAGCTAGCTACCTACTAGCCTTTAACAATACAGTCCCTCTGGCTTTCCTCTCTCTGCCGTGCGGTGGTGGTAAAGTCCACGAAAGCTTCGCCTCGGACCCGGGGGGTGGATATCACAGCTAATTTAATCTAATCAGCGCCAGCGTGGTCTGTACAAGACACACTTGAAAATGAAGGGAGTAAAAAGAAAACAATAACTAAAACATTTCCAACGAGGCAGATTGCTTAAAACACCCCTGAGATTACCGCATAAATTTTGTGACACTTGACTTCCTCCTGACAGCTCAGCCAATCACGTTCCGATTAGAAGGTGTTGAGTTCAGGATCAACCAATCAAATGTGCGGCACGTTCTCTGTCAGCCAATAAAATTAAAGAAGGCGTGTTTGTTCTTTCCTTCTCCTTTTTTTATGAAGCAGGACGTCAAGTAGCAAATATTTAACATTTAAAGACTATGAGGGGATTTTTTTTTTCAAAATAAAACACATTTTAAAGGTAATTGGTCTTCAAGACAAATAGCTGAATCCCTTTGCCTTTCCATAAACTGCACGAGTCCAATTTTCCTTCTTGCTTATTTTATTTACAGTCCCTTATTCAGATGTTACAATAAATTATCATCTGATTTTTTTGTATTTATTTTTACTCTTTTTCTTTGTGTTCCGTGCTTTTCAATCACGTTTTTTATCTTGGTGTGTTTTTTTCGGCACATTTCTTCAGTTTTGGTACAGGACCACAATGGAAATGGTTTATTTCCTGTGTTTTCCGAATATTAATAATGCATGTACTATATGTAGCGATGAATAGTCTCAGACAAGAAAAAGACATGGTGAAACCTATGGGTGAAACAAAAATAGTAGTAGTGGCAGTAGTAGTAGTTCTTTGTTCATTTCATTTGTAACACAGATTAACAAAGTACAGAAAAACATGCAATCAAAATAAAATCAAATAAAATGAAAGGCAGCAGAAGAAGAAGAAATCTTATAATTTCTGCCCCTTTTTTATACCCAAAATACGTTCAGAAGAAAAGTAAAAATACAACAAAAAAATCAAGTCCCAACAATAACAATAGCTAAACCCCAGAGCGATAAAACATTGTGGCAGGAGCATTCATATCAGGGGAACATTATAAGTAACAAGGTTTTGGTGCCATTCCATAAGGACCCACTCTAAATTATAGCAAATACTATGTGGCATGCAGAAGTATGGCATTTTTATGTGTTTAGATTTATAATTGTGGGCTAATCTTTGCCACTTTATTTAAATGGAAAAAGCATTGTGTGAGTGTATATGAATGGGCAAATAGGACAGAAGTGTAAAGCTTTTTTTGACATATGATAATGTTTGCCACACACACGCTGTGTCATATCATGTTGAAGTGGTCTCATAGTCTTGAAGTCTCTTATAGACATAATCCTCTTAATTTTAAGTGTGGGTAGGTTCTCCACTGAACCCCCCTCTGATGTGCACTAAATTCATTAAAAAAACAGACCCCATTTTTCTAAAAATGGTAAAAGGCTAGCTCATCTTTCGTCCTCTCTTTGAGTATATTACATCTAATACACTGGGTAGTTTAGATTTTGCAATGAGCCACAATCATAAGTTTGAATTAAGGTGAGAAAATCAAATGCGAAATGGGGCAGGTTTTGTCTGTTCAAGCTCCCTCTAACTCGTCTGTCTTATTGCCTTTTTTTTTTTCAAATGACACAGCAAAAATTATCTTTTGAATACTGTGAAGATGAGATTAATGCTGCAAACTGCAGAACTGTCTAAGAAATAAGCACAAATTAAAGATATATACACCTGTCAAGAACTTGCTGTGGATAATAACAAAGAATCCGATAATTATAGATTTGTAAATGTGACTTGCGTCATTACCTTACTTGCAAAAGTGTATTTCTTTACTGCATTTAAAACATCAGCGACAAAAATAAATAAACAATGGCAACACTATTAGTGATATACTATTTAATCTAGAAGCCCTTGTCAAACTCAAGGCCTGCGGGCCAATATCTGGCCCTTGTTAACATATTATCCGGCCCTATATAATAATTTACGTGTGAAATAATTTGATGGTTCTCTTTATTTTACAGTATTTAGTGTATTCTTCTCATGACAGCCGACCAACTTTCAAGCCAAAAAAATTGGGATGAATTGTCAGTCATTTTTTATTTTGGTGTGGAAAGAGCAACGGAGGATTGACTTTGTTTATCTTTTGCTTTACTCTTTTATTATTTACAAGTCAAACTTAATTTTAAATGAGTTTTTTTCTTATTTACTGAATTGTTATAAAATCCATCTCTGAAATATAAAAAAATGAAAAAGTTGTTGATGGAGAATAAGGCATAAGAAATTAATGCTAATAATATGTCTCTCAAATTTACGTTATAAGTTATAAATGCTACTTAAAACATAATTTGAAACAGGTAATTTGTGCATGAGAATAATTTGTTTTGTAACATTTCATCAATAAACATTGACAGACATTGTCCCTTATTGGCTTGTACCAAGTTTGGAATTTTGGTGTCCTAGAGTAGTAAACCCTGGCCTAAAATATCAATACGAAAAACTGTACTTTAAAATGTAAAACTATAACGAGCAGTGTTAGGTATCGGCAATAAAGATTTTTATTGTTTTCACAAGTGAAGTATTATTTAGAAAAATAAATTCCTCAGCAGCAGATTAAAACTCCAACTCTAAAAATGATGCCATTTTGTTTAAAAGGTAAATTTAAAAAATGCAACTCTCTTGAACCTATATTTTATATAAATAGTAGCCAAACATATCAAATGCCTAAACCAAAAAAATTGTAGAATAAAAAAAAATAAGGCAATTATGAATATCATGGAAGCAATATAAAATAATCAGATTGAAATTAGGTTTATTTTATTCCTTTCTTAAACAACAGTAAACGGCATAATGGATAGCTGCATGTCTTGTTTTTTTTATTTTTTATTTTTTACAATTTACTTTTTTTTTAATTGGGGTTGTTTCCGTGTCTCTGCTTTTCTTCAGGATCTAATAAAATTTTAAGTCTGATAGAATTTTAACACATAACACGCAGGATTATTATGAACAACATTTTAATAACAGAAGCAATCCAACTTTTTGAGTTTTCGTGTTTTGTTTGGTTGATTCAACACATTAGAAACAGTTCCCTGGTCTACCGCTAGATGTCACTGCAGCGCCGTATTCGCTGTTTGGTTGGATTGCAGCCTGATTTGCCCACGTGCTGAAATTGCGTTTTTGTTTGGTTGAATATTAATAATAAAAAATTACCTTCATGAAATTTGAGACCAAATGTTTACAAAATCCTCAAATATAAACAATGCTCAAAAGAATAAAGGGAATACTCAAATAACACATCTTAGATCTGAATGAATAAATTCTATAAATATAATATTAATATTAATATAAATTCTATAAATAAACTCTCTTTGAATACTTTGTTATGTACAAAGTTGAATGTGCTGACAACATGTCAAACTGTCAATCTCATAAGTGTACAGTTTGATTTAACAGAAGTTTGATTTACTTTGAGTTAGATTGTGTAGTTTAAGTGCTCCCTTTATTTTTTTTGAGCAGTATATATATTTTAAATGAAGACAAGCTGTTTTATTCATATTTAACTGCAAAAGCCACAGCTCACAAATGAAGCTACAAAAGCTAAATTATAAAACTGAAACCCCAACAAGCACAACATATTCCGTTTATTATGATTGTGGGGAAAAACCAGACAGGTAAAAAAGGAAAAGGAGATTGTAATTATCCATAAACCTTTACTTTAGAAGCCTGACATTTATAGATGGCGTCAATCAAGTCTCTTGTGTTCAACTGTTTACTGTCATTCTCGCATGGCTCACACAGTGGGACTTTCACATCAATGTCAAGCACAGATGGCCCGTTATGTAACATTAAGTAGAAGTGGAAAAAAAGGGGAGGCTCAGTGCGTTTCATCCAGTCTGTCCTAAAGCAGCTTATTCACAGATAGCTGCTGTTATTTAACATTATTAATGACCATCAACCTCTGAAGAGCCCATAGGCTAAACACAAATGCCCAACTCAGATGTTGCTTCGAAAATTTAATCCCAGAGTAAAAGTGACTCCACAGAAAACATCTCTTATTATATCTAAGACCTGGTATTTCTTGAAGGAATGTCTATCGCCTGAAGCACATTAGGCCAGAGTTTTCAGTAACTCAGCTCCTACCTAACTTCTGGAAAACTGACCTAGTTTTTAATTTTTTATTGCATCAATTTGACTCCAAAACTTGTAAACATCAGCACAATGACTGCTTTCTGAAAGTGTCATTGAGATCAATTCACTGGCTCATTGTTTACCTGACACATGCACACAGACAAAAACAGCATCCATTTGCTTTCATCTTGAGCAGTGAGTAATAAAAACTGAGAGATGATTCAGAACTAGAAAAATTAGTGTGGTGTGGCAGATTGAACCCAGGAATCACCTTCACTTTTAGAAAGTGTATAGCATGTTTTATTTTTTTTGCAGAAACAGTTCTGTTTACTATCCACATGTTTTCAGTGACATCCATTCTCCCTGTCCTTGTATACGTTTGACAAGAATGCACATGTGTTTGTGTTTGCGTCAATGCCCATAAATAATCTTGGTTAGGCGTGGCTTTCCAGGAGTTGAACACAATGAGCGAAAGGGAAGTTTCATTCAACAGACAATAATCGGATGCAAAGATCCCTACAGATCCCAGAAGGAATCTGTCTCCATCCTCCTTTTCTGTATCCTTTCACCAACGTCTGAGTTTCCTTGGAAACTAAGTGCACCTTGAAATGCCGTCCACCTTTGTGGATTTTCTAAAAGCTGCAGTCTGAGATTCCCTGCAGCCCAAAAAAAAAAAAGATAACACATGTTTCTCAAAACCTAGAGTTCATCTTTATTTTCTTGCAAAAGTACTCCTACTCCCAATCACACATAAATGCATAGAGTGAGTTCGGACTGGGAAAAGAGATAAACAACTCTTTGCAAGAGGAACAACAGAAAGAATAAAAGTGATTTAGGGCGCATCACTCTGACTTTTACAATATTTGCTCATATCCAGTGAAAGTTACTAAGGTAGCAGTAATCAGGCGCCCTGTGATGTCTGGAGGACCGATAATCATTTTATTGTTTATTGTTCATAAAGCCAACATAATTTCTTACACTCATAATGGCCATAAGTACGGCTCAGGCAAATTGTACTGGTTTACCACAAGAGGCCATTTTTAAAGTGTGTTTTTGTAGCTCATACCGCCATGGAGGCCTGTTTTCTGATAGGAAAACAGATAGGCTTTCTGTTTGCAATTCTTAGAGGCTGCAGTTGAAGCGGCACTCCCACACTCTTTCTTTCTCTTTCTCTCACACACGATTACATGACTTTAGTGGAAGTTGTGTTGCCGTTCATGTCTTGGACAGATCTAACAATTATTTGTAACCCGATCTCACACTGTGACACATTTTGGTCAAATCAGCGATTTATTTGCAACACAGCCATGTTTATTTCAGGAAGGCTTGCTTTGAGGTAACCAGTTTGACATGAATGTTTTTTTTTTCTTTTAAAGTCCTATGGTTAAGATGACATCTTCCAGATTGTAATCACAAGATGATGTATGCTTAAAAAACATCTGGTATGTCAAGTTGCTTTATCTTTACCTTAAAATATTGTTAAGTCTCCAAATATAATTTTTTATCTTTATGGGAAACTGCTCCTTGGCCTTCTAGAGGAAGTGAAATGGACAAATAACATGTCATACACGGGCAAAAAGGCCCAATGGGCCTTCTGTTTTAATAACTTAGAGATATGTTATGATCGATGTTCGAGAAAGAGAAGTAAATGATGTTGTGAAGCAAATAGACAAACAAATTTGTCCAACTAGAGACGTTGATTATGAATGTTGAATACTGGATGACTTTGTTGACTAAGCTGTTAAAAGACAAAAAAGAATAACACTACATAAATGTAGCAAGTTGTCTTTTTATGCTAAAGAAATGTGCCAAGTATGCAGAAGCAAATTTCAAGCTAAAAGTTACAAACGTAAAATGGTACCTAGAAGCTAAAAGTAGCTAAACACCAGCTAAAAGCAGCAAAAGTTAGCTAAAAGCTAAATGCAACAAAAGGCAGGCCAAAAAGGTTATTTTAAGCAATAAATTGGTATATGTTAAAATAAAATCAGCAAAATGTTAGCAAAAAGCTAAAAAAATATTTGAAAGACTAACCAAAAAAATAAAAGTAATAAAAGGCCAAATGCTGAAAGTATCAAAAGCTAAACTTAGCAAAAAAGCCAGTTAAAAATAGCCAAAAGCTAACATTGGCCAAAAGCTAAAAGTAGCAAGTTGCATGTTTTATTTTAAAAACAGAATAAGAAAACATAATTTTGGGGAAATACACAGAAGCAGATTTCATGCTAAAAGCTACAAATAGGAAAATGGTATCTAAAAGTTAAACATAAGGACTGGATTTAAGAGTCTAGATTGGAGCCAAAAACAGCTAAATGATTGCTAAATGCTAACATTAGATAAGTGCTAGCAAGAAGCTAAAAGTTGTGGATGGCTAATAAAAAAAGTTACAAAAAACTAAAAGTTTAAAAAAAGCCTACAAGTTAAAAATACAAAAAAAAATCGAACTAAAAGCTAAAAGTAGCTTACAGACAGATGGAGCTTGAGGGCAGCGGTTCTGCTTGTTTTACTTGTTTCTTAGCTGAATCACCTCAGGAAGTCTTTTAATCACACATTTATTCAAATCAGGTGTGTTGGAGCAGAGAAACCTCTAAAACATAAAGGATATAATGCCTCTCAGGATTGGACACCCTGAGGATGTGACTCTACTACTACAACACTAAATGTGAGCTCATCTTTATACTTCACTAAGTTCTATAGACGTTGTTGTTTGTTTGTTAAAACCAGATGGCTGAGGTGACAATTATTGACTTCAAATTTTAAGCAGTTGCAGCAAATAGTCAGAGAGTTTCATTGAAACCCGTCTTCTGGATTATTAGATATTTTGCTAACACACATTGATGTGCTTCCGGGGGACAGACTCCACGTTGTTTCGTCCTGTCTCCATCACTTTGCGCAGATTTAAATTTTGAGCTGTAACTGATCTTACTCATTTCGTGACGTGGAAAAAAGAAGAAGAAAAAAGAAGCAGAAGAGGTCTGTAATTCACCTGGTCTCATTTATTGATCCTGCACGACAAACTCTCAGATCCATGTGTGGGAACCTGAGCCGCGGCGGCGCGGCGGAGGGCGGGTCTGTGAGCTGTGGGCTGGAGGCTGGGCTCCTCATCTCCGCCTCCTTCTCCCTCCCTCTCCCTCCCTCCCTCCCTCCCTGCCTCCCTCCTCTGGCCGGGAGCCTCTGGGCGGCAGAGAGCGTCTCTGCTGCTGCGCTTCCTTCGGAGAGTGATCGGCGAACCGAGTTGTCAGTCCGTGTCGCGCGGGTCGTATGCGCGCACTCCTCGCCTTTCATCCCTGGAAAGCAGGTCCAAGACGCACGTCCTCCCGGAAGGCGGCGAGAGTGAAACCACCTGTCAGCTGCGGGTAAGACACAAGACTTTTGAAACACACATTTGAAATAATTTGACTTGAATGTGTGTTTGGATCAATAAAACTCCTCTTCAGATTAGAGTTTCGCGCACTTGGGCGCACAGATTGAGGAGGAACAGTGTCTTCAGCTAATGGTCTCCAAAAAGCAACTTTTGAACACTGTAACTTTTTGGCAGAGCATCTTCAATACAGTGTCAGCTACCTGCAGCACATGCAGTCTTTTCCAAAGGTTTAATTTGATCTCAGCGGGTACTACGTGTTCATTGTGCTTTAATTATTAAACCACTTCACCTGAAAATGTTACCTCTCAAGCCATTAAAGCATTTTTTACTTTCCTCTTGTTTAAAGTGCATGATGCTCTTTTTATTCATTCAAAAAAACTGCTCAAACAGAAAACTTTGGATTATGTTCTGGTTGCTGAAAGCAAACAAAAACTGACTTTAAAAGTTATCTGTCATTAAGGGTGCAGCCCTCATCTAACAGGGATCACAGATTTAATGAACCTTCCTGCACAATGCAAAGAATGTTGTGGTTTCTCTTGTGTCAGACATTATTTGGCAACAAACTATTGCCAACCAGTGACTCATTTCAAGTCTTATTATCAGGCTGCTACTGTTTTCATCAGAATAAGCGATTATTTGCATTTATAGTGTTGTTTTAGATAAACTGTAAAACAAACCCTCCCACTGAGTGTTTGAGTTTAATAAGAACAGGACTGAGGTGAGTTGGGATGTCTGGACGCCTACCGTAATAAGAAAAAAAAAAGCATAAAGATAGTTATTTCCATATTTGTGCTCATTAACAGGCTAATGTGTCATCTTAGGAATACACTTAAAGAAATAACCTGAACATGCATAACCTCTGAAGTGCATAAATTGAACCTGTTCCCCCTCCTTATCTCACTAACCTCTTTACTTCGGTGCGAGCAAAGATAAGTTGGGATCATTACTGCCCGCAGGAAGGGAAGGGTGTGTGTTTGCCGTCCTTGAAGCTGTTTTTTTCCCACCCTGGGTGCCTCAGAAACACAAGAGGGCACACGGCTTTAAGTCTGCCCAGGAAAAGTAAGGAACTCTGCAGGCAGCAGGTTCACGTGCAACCGGAGTAAAGAGTAAACTGTGTTGTAACAATCGAGAAAAAGCAACCTTGTATGATTTGGAATTTGTCTTTTCAACTTGTGCGTTCTGTAATCCACCTGATTTGGAATTTTTGCATGAGAAACAATTTTGTTAAGGAGTAAAACTGAGGAAATGTGTGCATCTGAATTTATCCTTTTTGCAAAAAAAAAAAAAAAAAAAAAAA